TATTGAATTTTAAAAATTTTACTTTATAAAAATTAAAAATATAATAGTATGTTTTCGATAAATAAAATTGTCTGCTTAAGTTTTGTTTTAAATGTGTTATAATACCATTCCTGTACTTCAAGCAAATATATTGTTTAGATTGTTAATATGATTTTAAATGTGAGGTTTTCATAAATGCAAACACCCAAGGAACTGGTAACTTTATTTCAGTTTTATCAAAATAAATACCCTAAAAGGTTAGAGTTAGGGTCAGGGTTAAGGGTTACAAACCCTGAAGATATAATCAAAAGTAGATTTTTTTAATCATGGGTAAAACCCTGAGGATCTAATAGGTTTTTTGAATATTTTATTATAGCTTGTTAGACTTTACCCAGTCGGAGATTTTAATGATTTCACTATTCATTTTTGTAAACAGTGTTGGTAAGTCATTGTCAGTTATAAAAGTATTTGCGTTATCGGCAAACATAATTGTTGTTAAAATTTATGCTTTATAGAGACCATTAATATAAAATAAAAAACAAGAGGTTCTAATTTTGATCCTTGTCGAACTCCTCATGATATATATAATATATTGATAATGAGGATGAATCTATTTTATCAAATTGTTTCCTATTTTTTATATAGTTTATTAATAATAATAATCCATTCCCGGTGATTTCATAGAGTTGCAGTTTTGTATAAAGAATTTCGTAATCAATAGTATCAAAGGCTTTTGATAATTCTATGAAGATGCCTAGAGTATATTGTAATTTTTAAAATGAACTCGTTATACTTAAGTTGAAGTACTGTATTTTTAGCAAAGCCTAATTTTTTGAATCCATATTGATTGTTGTATAATATTTTGTTTATAGTTAGATAGTTATATATTTTATTTTACAAAATTTTTCCCGAAACTTTTGAAAAAAACAGGGAAAACTAAAATTGGGCGTTAGTTATTTAGCTTAGTTAGTTCACACAATTTAAAGATTGGAGTAACTGTAGCTATTTTTAGAAGCTGGAAATAATCCTTGTTTTATTGAGTAACTAAAAATTTTAAAAAGAATACTGTTAATGATGTAAAAAGAACCAATAAAAATATTTTCAATAATATTATCTGGTCCAACGGCTTTGTTAAGTTTAATAATTTTGTAGGCGGAATCAAATTCTTCGAATGTTGTTTTAAAAATATTTATAGAAAAGTTTAATGAAGAAGGAGTGTCGCTTGCTATAATAGTGACAATAGGTATTTTTTATTAAATTATGGTCCAACAAATACAAAATAATTGTTTATTTTGCTTGTTTTTTTAATAGGATCATTTAAGAGTTTGCAATTTATCTCAATAATTTTGGGCAGAGAGCAATTATGATTACTCATAATTTCATTTATATATTTCCATATTTTTTTAGAATCATTTTTGTGTTTATCAAATAAATTGATGTAGTATTTTTTTTAAGGTTTTTTCTTTGTTTTTTAATTTGTTTTGCATAATTTTTATCGATGTTTTCAATGTTAGGTATTTAATATGCAGTTTTTATTTTATTTTCGAGGATTTTTTAAATCTTTTGTAATTCATGTCGATTTAATACTTTTATTGTTTTACAAACTTCGCATTTTAGAAAACTTACATAGTTAATTTCATAGAATATTTAAAAATATGTGTTGTATATTTTCTTTGCTACTTATATGACCCCAATTTATTATTTAAAGACAATTGGTCTTTAAACAAAAAAAAGTTTTTAATATTAATGAGTCGTTTTACAATTTCTTGTTTTTTTCAGAGATAAAAATTCAGAAGTTCTATAATAGAGAAAAAAAATGGGAAAATGATCAGATGAAACACTTTTAATAATTCCTTTATTGAACAATTTATTTGAGGTATGGGTTGAATAATATTGTGTATCAGTGAAGCTGATTTTGCTTTTACCTTCGTAGGTTTATTTAATAAAGGGATCCTCCAATTTAAAATAAATCGTTATAAAATTTTTCAATGTTGTTATTTATGAAATAGTCATTAAAATTTAAGTTTAGATCACCAACTAGGTAATTTTTTTTTTTTTTTTTTTTGAAAACCTTTTTTAATGATATCAATAATTAAAAAATTACAACTAAAAACAATAATTAAAAACTTTTGATTGCACATGATGATATGCAATTGCAGCAATTTAAAATTATATATATATTTTTTCTGTAATAGTTTTAATAGGTAAAATTTCTTTATAGCCTTCAGAAACACTCATGATTGGCCTGATAATAAACTGCAAATTATTGTTTACATAAATAACTACACCTCCACCTTGTTTGTTTGTTTTGCGTGTAATTGAGACCATATTAAAGCCTTGGAGATGGAGATTGGCGTTCAATGCAGTGTCGGCAGAGCTGCTCCACGTTTCTGTAACGCATCTTAAGTTAAAAACATTCAATGTTTTTTCTAAATTATTGTAAAAATTTACAAAGTGTTTTTTTAAGCTTCTAATATTAAAATAAATGACATTGATATGATCCGCTGAAGAAACTCCTTCATTTTATTTTTATAAAAATAAGAGCAGTTATCTTGTAAAGCACCTGTATCATAACAAAAATTTAAATCAAGATCAAGTTTTCCTTAAGTTTAAAGTCATTAGTTTATGTTTTTCATAATTTTTAAATAAAGAAGTTTTTTTTAGTTAATCGCGTGTTATTATTTTATTATAAACTACTTTTGCATACTTGCGTTTCAATCGTAACTCCTATGCTTCAGTAAACAACTTTCTTCTTATTTGTATCGTTTGTTCGCAAAAATCTTCACTGACGAATAGATCTTGTTGCCAAAGTTTTGCTTCTACGTAATTTTCCAATATCGAGCTTTTATATTTATAGTTTAAAACGTTACTACGATTGTTCTGTTTCTTATTTTTTCGCCAAACTCTTTTTTTCCAACTCGATGTCTAACAAGCTATAATAAAATATTAAAAAAACCTATTACATCCTCAGGGTTTTACCCATGATTAAAAAAATCTACTTTTGATTATATCTTCAGGGTTTGTAACCCTTAACCCTGACCCTAACTCTAACCTTTTAGGGTATTTATTTTAATAAAACTGTGATAAAGTTACCAGTTCCTTGGGTGTTTGCATTTATGAAAACCTCACAATTAAAATCATATTAACAATCTAAACAATATATTTGCTTGAAGTACAGGAATGGTATTATAACACATTTAAAACAAAACTTAAGCAGACAATTTTATTTATCGAAAACATACTATTATATTTTTAATTTTTAAAAAGTAAAATTTTTAAAATTCAATACCTAGTATTTACATATATGAATGTTATTTATCTTTTACGTTTATTTGTTTTTACTTTCGACGAGAATATACATATTTAACACAATAAATGTAACAATGTAGATTAAAAACAAAGCGGTTCCTGACGATAAGATCTTCAGGTCTTCTAAGATATTCCGCGTTCTTTCTATTAAAAACTAAAATAATCTTGTAATCATTCTATTATACAGTTGAAAATGTTATGATTGTAAAACGTAATATTGTTATGCTGTCAAACATTTAAAAAAAGAACAAAAAAAATTTCATAATATTTATAGAAACTAATAAATAATCAATTAAACTTTTATTATAATTCAAATCATTAAAGATCTCGTAAACAATTCTGAATAAAAATGAATACATATAATGAATAAGATAACTTTTTGATGATAAAAAACATAAAATTGTTTTAAAAAAGTATAACGATCAAATTCAAGTTCAATGGGAAATGTGAAAACAGTATTACAGAAGGTTGTATAACAAAAAAAAAATTATAATGGAGAGATTAGAGCTTCATATACCTTTAATAAAAACTAATGCAATAAACATTTTAAATTCAAATAAAGATTTAACTCTCCTCCTTTCTTCTCTTTGTGTTTAAATAGTTTTGACAGCAACAGCTTTCTCTTTTAAAATAGTCAGTTAAGATAATTGACATAATGCTTGAAAATTCATACTCATATTATCATCTTTATTTTTGTCATATAAAATTTATTCATTTTTTGATCGTTTTTTACGCAAGTGTAAATATTAGGCAGTAGTTAAGTAAGTTTTTTTTTTTTTTTTTTGATGGTATTATTATATTTAATTTTTTATTTTTTACAATATAGAAAGTAACTTAACCAGTTTAAAAAAAAAAGTGAAACCTTCTATTAAATCTGTAAAATTTTTGCTTTTACACTTTCGTGCTTAATTAAATATGAAGTATAAACTTAAAATAAATAAACTTTGGAAAATAATTTTAGTAAATTATTTTGTAAATTTAGTGATTTTCATTTTTAAATATTTGCTCTTATTTTGTGACGTAATGCAAGTTTTTTTTAATAATGTTTTTTTATATATTTTAGTAATTTTTTTAACAGCAGCATTAATATAGCAGTTTGAGGAAGAATTTCAGCCGAAACAGCTAAAAAAAATTTATTTAATAAATTTTTTTCATCAAAACATTGTATTTATTATATATATATATATATATATATATATATATATATATATATATATATATATATATATATATATATATATATATATATATATATATATATATATATATATATATATATATATATATATATATATATATATATATAAATATATATATATATATGAATATATATATACATATATAAATATATATATATGAATATATATATTTATAGTATTTAATGTTTTATGTTTAACTATAAAAATCATTTTTCTCCTGATGTATTTAAAAACCTTTATTTTGTATAATCGATATGCAAATACAATTATCGCAATGGAAAAAATCTAGTAGTAATAGCAGTAGTAGTAGTAGTAGTAGTAGTAGTAGTAGTAGTAGTAGTAGTAGTAGTAATAGAAGTAGTAGTAGTAGTAGTAGTAGTAGTAGTAGAAGTAGTAGTAGTAGTAGTAGTAGTAGTAGTAGTAGTAGTAGTAGTAGTAGTAGTAGTAGTAGTAGTAGTAGTAATATTAGTAGTAGTAGTAGTAGTAGTAGTAGTAGTAGTAGTAGTAGTAGTGGTAGTAGAAGTAGTAGTAGTAGTAGTAGTAGTAGTAGTAGTAGTAGTAGTAGTAGTAGTAGTAGTAGTAGTAGTAGTAATAGTAATAGTAGTAGTAGTAGTAGTACTAGTAGTGGTAGTAGTAGTAATGGTAGTAGTAATCAAGTAATAAAAGAAATTGTAGTAATAGTAATGGTAGTAATAATCAAGTTTTAAAAAAAGTAGTAGTATTTGGAGAAGTATTGGTACTAATATAGGGCTGTTAATTTTGTTTTTGTTTACAACGTTAACATAATATCTGAGTATATCAAATATATTTTATCTTTATTAAGGGTATGGCAAATGATGAAAACCAAATTTATTCCTTAAAAGCACTTATAAAAGAGTCGAAATATTTTGATGCTAATGATAACTTACTACATGCAATACTTCAAAGGGGGCTAGAAGGACTCAATGAATTCCAAGAAGAAATGGGCAAAAAAAATTTTGATAATTTGAAATCATCAGTTATCAACTTTCTAGATTCCCACAACAATAGTAAGTTTAATTAAAATTCTTATATATATTAAAATTGTCTTCACTACATTAATAATATATATATATATATATATATATATATATATATATATATATATATATATATATATATATATATATATATATATATATATATATATATATATATCCAAGGCTTCTCGGACTTTTCCTTCAAATTTTTTATCCTTAATTTTAAGTTTTACTACTTTACTCCATTCAATTTTCTCATTGCAATTTACGTGATGCAAAGCTAAAACAGATTTGTTTAACTTGCCTCCAGTCAAAATTATTTGGTGTTGTTGAACCCTTGTTTGTATTTGAAGTTTATTTTTAGAAACATACACTTTGGAGCTTTTGCCCTTTTAAATAGGTTTCTGGGGTGCTGCTACGTGGTATTTTAAATTTGTTTTTAGAAGTTAATGGCGTTTTTAGGTTAGCATTTGGTTTAAAAACAGTTGTTTAAGCAATTTTTCTGAATGTTCTTCTGAGTCTGGGAGATAATATTGGTATTCATGGTAAAGAGATTGTAGAAAGGTTATTAGAGTTTGATATAGTTATCTGTTTATTTTGCAAAAGCGTTTTTTGCAAACCTAATAAGAAATATCTTTAAACATTTTCTCATTGTTCCTATTTTCAGAAAACACTTGATTTAAAAAATTTATCTTATCTTTCAAATGGTTTTCGCTGCATATTGAGTACGCTCTGTGTATATAATCGTTGATTATTGTTTTTAAAGTTTTGGAATCGTGATTAGAATGAGGTTTGATTTGGATATTGGTTTTAGCATTTTTTTATCAACTTCAATAGCATATTTTAAAGAAGGATGTTGTCTCTTAAGGATTGTTTGGAACTATTCCGCTGGTTTAAATTAGAAAATCTAGCGTAGCTATCTTCTTCATATCTATGAAATGATTTAACAATAATTAAAAGAATCATTGCCATTGCCATTTTTAGTTTCTTTTCATTATGGTATTGTAAAAAATATTCAATTAAAACAACTATAAAAAAAAATCCAATTGGATATGAATTCTCTAACTCATGAAACTCACAGTTTCACAAGAAATAACAACGAAACAAAGTTCAATTAGTTGTTTTGTTTCAGTTAATGTTTAGCCGAGTTTTTGTGAGAAACGGTTTTATTTAATTGATCCGAAAGTATTTGAGTTGCTTCTTTTAATGGGATTAATAAGTTCTAAATTTTGAAGGATACCTGTATTTTATCTTTGTCATTTAACCACGACTTAGTTTTGTTAATAAATTCTTTTGATTTTTAAACCTAATACAATATTCGGTCAAGACAGATTGTATTCTTTTAACGAATAAGTTTGAAATTTCATGACAAGGTGTGCCAATAGATGGTACAACGACTCTTATCGGATAGGATTTATCTCGTTTATGAGCTTTAATTAACACATACAAACTTAGTGGGTCAAGATCAATCGGATATATGCTTTGATATTCATCATTTGAAAAATGTTGCTTTTAATTAAGCTTTGAATGGAAAGACTTTATTTTAGCTGCATAACTAAGAGTAGGATTATTACAAATAATTTTATTTGGGTTTATCTGTTTTCTAATTTTTTCAATTGCTTTCTCATTTTCTATTCTCAAAAATCCTATTCCTTTAACAAATGGACAAATATTAATTAAAGATACCATCAAGGCGAAAAAATTGATATTTATCTATTTGGTAAAGGAATAGGATTCGTGAGAATAGAACATGATAAAGTAATTGAAAAAATTAGAGAACAGATTCGCCAAAATTTTTCAGGATAATTTTTGATGCGCACCCCATCTTTTATGCAGGAAAATTTAGGATTCGGTATCCCACACGGACATTGAATCATGCAAATTTTAACAATATCATTAAGCTCACAAATAACAATTGGATCTAGAATTTCTGCACATATTAAGTTATTGATAGCCTGTGCTGTTTCAAGTTTATCATCATTGAAATAAAATGTGGAAATGCTGCAAACCACGTTTTTGAAAGTCAATAACCTAAACATGCGTTAGAACTTTGCCTAATACACTATGTTTGCATATATCATTAAGGAGGTTATTTAACTTGAGTTTAAATATCCGAGTAACCAAATCAGGTCTATGATTTGCAGTCTTACCCAGATATATTTTTTTTGTTGTTTTACGTCATTTTCGGTTGCAAGTAAAAGTAATAAAAAGATCTCTACCATATATTTAATAATTGCCATAGCATCACAAATTTTTATTTAAAAACTCTAGGACTTCCTACATAAATGATGGCAAAATTACTACGCAATGTTGTTGACATGTTCATGTAAGGCATCATACTGCTCTCTTCTGTTTTGGTTGCTTCTGATGAAAGTAAGACGCTAGTCTTCAATTTTGACATGTGCATGTAACAGGATATATGCTGAAATAGTTAATACAATTTTTAAAGGATGACCTCTTGCATAAAGAAAAACTTCGCTGGAAGTTAGGAGAACGTTATTTTCACCAACTAATACAACAGCAACTTCATTATGCGAAGGTAGATTAAAGCGACGTTTATCACCCCCTTCAAGTAAAGACATTTATTATTATTAAAGAAAATTACAATAGAGGCTGAGCAACCTTCTATCACCGCTTGACAAATTTATTCATTTTCAACTTCATCTACATTTTTAGATGGAAGAGCAAATAAACGTTGTTCTTTGAAAAATTAGATCACGTAAACAAATATCATAACCACGTTGTTGCATTCTAAAAATTGCTGCTGCAAGTGAATCATTGAATCATAAAAACATAATTGAGAATATATTGGTGGAATATCTTGATCTGGCCTAAGATTACCTACACGATAAAAAATTTGACCACATATTTTAAAACATGGAGGCCCATGATTCATTGGCTGAACTACATTTTTTTTAAAAGATGCGAAAGAAAAAAAGGCACTATAACTTCGAATATTAAAAAAAAAAAATTACATTAGCATTACAATCTACATAAATCCTTGAAAACAAATCCTTTGAAACTTGTGTAAAAAGTGAAAGTGGAGGAAAAGCTACCTTATCTTAATGGCAACTTAAAAAATGCGCTTCATCTGGAAATTTTTTAGCACCACAGTACTGACAAATTTGATTCATTTTTCCTAAATAATTATAATCTGGAATAGCATTACTTTTTGCTATAGAATACATTTATCCTTGCCCACAGCTCTTCTTGCATATTTGCAACAAATAATTTCGTCTCAATTAAGCCTATTTCTTTCATTTTGGCGACGAATAACATTATCTTGATCAAATCTATTTCTTTCATTTTGGCAACGATTATTTTCAACACGCCATATAGCACTTACATCATCTTGTAAATACATAACTTCATTTAGCCTATCAAACTTTTTAATGTCACCATTTTCATTAAACATGTTTATCGAAGCAATACTAATTATTTCTTTTTTTTACTACGCTAAAAAATGTTACTTAAAAGATTAAAAAAATAAATTCTCAAAACAAATATATATAAAGAAACCAAATAAATGCAAAATATAATTTATTTGCTATCGTCAAAAGTAATACAGGTTTCTTAAGTTTATTTAATAAAAAAATAAGAAAAAGACTTTAAAAAGTTAAATTTATTTTGTTTCGAAAAAAAAAAATTAGAAACAAACAAATACCCTTTTTTAATAGACACAACAAAGTTTTTATAATAATATATATATATATATATATATATATATATATATATATATATATATATATATATATATATATATATATATATATATATATATATATATATATATATATATATATATATATATATATATATATATATATATATATATATATATATTCAACTATTTAATAAGAAAACATAAGAAAACCAAAATTTTTTTTATAATAAAAAAATTGTTATATATTTATTGAAAAGCCAGAAACATACTTTTTTTAAAGAGCAAAAGTATTGAGATTTTTATAAATAAATTTGTTTTATAACAAAAATTTAAATAAAAATTAAATTAAGATAAATTTTATTTCTTACAAAATGTTGTCATGGCTTTTATCCAATTTAATAAAAGCGTATGAAAGCAGAAAAACTAGCAATAAATATCAATTTAACGCTAGACACCATCTAAGATTTATCGTAATCTGTATTTTCAATAATAACATCTATAACACTAAGCTATAAATTTTAAAATACAGTTTAAAAAAAGGTTACAATAATTTAATAACTTATAAAATTTTAAAAACATTTTATATTACCTATAATTTTAAACTACTAAACAGTATCTACTTAATGTCTACTTAAACATTTTTAACTACAACCATTAAAGGTCGCGACTTTTTTAAGAAAGCACTCGGTTAAGAAAAGTCTAGAAACTACTTAAAAACTAAGAAATAGTATATTTTAAAGCCCATTCTCCATTCAAAACTTTTTGCGTTTTGGAGGAGCGGAAAAGTTCTTTGAGCATGCGCAAAATGTTTTGATTGGAGAACGGGTTTAAAAAAACTGTTTGCGCATGCTCAAAAAAATTTTCCGTTTTACCAAAGCGCAAAAAGTTCTGAATGGAGAACGGGCTTATATAATACAGAAACTTAACTAATATCAAACAATCGGCGTAACTATGTGCTCTAATAATAGTAATATTTACTGTGCTATTTATATAAGGAACTATGCGCTCTAATAATAGTAATGTTTATTGTGCTATTTAGATAAGGATATATCAAACTAATTGTTTTTGTTAGTTTGAGACATTTTTATATAAATTTATACTAGTTATAGACAAACTATAAAGTATTAAAAAAATGGTTTCTTAACTGATTAAATGAATTGCCTGATAAGTGTTTGAGTTTAAACTTTTAGCAAATAATTATAACACAAAATAACTCATTAAATTTATTACCACTCGTGCGTATATTTTGCCTGCTTTTCAACATAATAGTAATTCAACTTATGGCATGATGCACAAGAATAATATGGAATAGTTATCGTCAAAACGGGTACCATTGGTCAGCAGGGTAACTTAAACTCTTTTTAAA